TCATTGTCCACTCTCCCCATAGGCCTTCTTTTTTTTGTTTTTTGAGACGGAGTTTCACTCTTGTCGCCCAGGCTGGAGTCCAGTGGTGCGATCTCGGCTCACTGCAACCTCCACCTCCCGGGTTCAAGTGATTCTCCTGCTTCAACCTCCCAAGTAGCTGGGATTACACCACACCCAGCCCCCATAGCCCTTTAATAATGACAGAGCTAGGCCGGGCGTGGTGGCTCACTCCTATAATCCCAGCACTTTAGGAGGCCAAGGCAGGCGGATCATTTGAGGTCAGGAGTTCAAGAGCAGCCTGACCAACATGGTGAAACCCTGTCTCTACTAAAAATACCAAAATTAGCTGGTGTGGTGGCACACACGTGTAATCCCCGCTACTTGGCAGGCTGAGGTAGGAGAATCTCTTGAACCCGGGAAGTGGAGGTTGCAGTGAGTCGAAATTGCACCACTGCACTCCAGCCTGGGTGACACAGTGAGACTCCATCTCAAAAATAATAATAATAATAATGAGACAGTTAGCAATTTTTGAGCATTTTATTTGTTCCTGGTACTGCGGGGCACTTTAGAATTATAATCTCACATGACAAACTTTGAAGTGGGTACTACTGTTATATTCATTTCACAGGTGAAAAAGTTTACAACAATTTAATGACTTGCCCAGGATTACACACAGCTAGGAAGTGGTGGAGCCGAGATTTGACCTGAAAATGTGACCTCAAGGCCTGCAGTGTGCATTGCCTGGCTCATACCTCCTGTTGCCCAAAGGACCGTGTTTTCAACCATTTCTTCCCCTTTCTAGCCCCAGCAAAAGTTTAAGAAATGAGTTCCTGACCCCAGGGAGCCAGTCTAAGACTGAAGGAAAAAAGGTAACCTAAGGCAAACTTCCTCTTCAGCCATTTCAAATAAAAGGGAAGACGCCAGACAGTGCATGGAGAGTCAAGGCTGGAGAGCTCATTATTATCTCAGGTAAAGGAAAGCAGAGGCCATGAGTGGGCAGAGGGGCCAGACTGTACACAGAGAGCACAGTAGACATGGAAGGAGAGGCCATGGGAGCTGCAGGGGGAGACAGAAGCGGGACAGTGACCAACTGACTCTAGCTATCCCCTGGTGTTACCATTAACCCAGAACCACCCTATGGTTCCAGTTCCAAGGAACTGTCTATGCTGCCATTCAGGTGCCTAGGTTCCAACAAGATTCTTTTTCTCTTTTTTTTCCCTTGGCATGTGAAGTGAGAAGGATATTTTTTTGGTTTTTGTTTTGTGAGGCAGGGTCTTGCAATGTTGCCCAGGCTGGAGTGCAGTGGTGCAATCATAGCTCACTGCAGCCTCAACCTCTTGGGTTCAGGCAGTTCTCCCACCTCAGCTTCCTGAGTAGCTGGAACCACAAGCACTCACCATCATGCCCAGCTACTTTTTAAAAACTTTTTTGTAGAGATAGGGGTCTCACTATGTTGCCCAGGCTGGTATTGAACTCCTGGGCTCAAGCAATCTGGCTGCCTTGGACACCCAAAGTGCTAGAATTACAGGTGTGAGCCACCACACCCTTTCAAGAAGGGTCTTGACTTTAAATAAAAACTATTGACAGTCTGGCACTGTGCTAAGTGTTTTACACGTACCAACCAATTTTTTTTTTTGAGACAGAGTCTCACGGTCGCCCAGGCTGGAGTGCAATGGCGTGATCTTGGCTCACTGGAAGCTCCACCTCCTGGATTCAAGCAATTCTCCTGCCTCAGCCTCCCAGTAGCTGGGATTACAGGTGCCAGCCACCACACCAGGCTAATTTTTGTATTTTTAGTAGAGACAGGGTTCTGCCATGTTGGCCTGGCTGCTCTTGAACTCCTGACCTCAGGTGATCCACCTGCCTCGGCTTCCCAAAGTGCTGGGATTACAGGTGGGAGCCACCACGCCTGGCTCACACACCAACTAGTTTAATCCTCACCTAACTCCATGAGGTAGATATTATTATTACTGTCACTTTACACAGGAGGAAACAGGCTCAGGGAAGGTAAATAACTTGCTAAGGTCAAACAGCTATTTCAGTGGCAGAGCCAGGGTTTGAATGCATGTAGCTGGCTCCTGAGTCTCTGCTGCATCTACCCCTTTATTTGACTTAGCTGGAACAGATTCCTTCCAACCCAACAAGCTAGACCACAACATCTCTATTAAACCTTTCACAGGGCTGAGCCTCAGCTCCACAAGTAGAACAGAAGCTCATTAAGGGCAGGAGTCATTTCTACGTGGTACTTGGGTATACATAGAATGAGAATGAGGCAGCCTCGCACTGAGACAGGTGCCTGAATGAAAGCAGCAGTATTTTATCTGTGCAGCTCTGAATCTATAACACACACAAAACGACTGTTGTTGCATCGTGAGCATGTGGGGTAACGGTCTGTGGCTGCTTTCTCTCATTCACTAGAGCTTCTATTACTAAGCGCGTCTTATCTCCTCACGTTTTACGTATACTAAAATTGTGTAAAATCTTTGGTTGGGCCAGGCACAGTGGCTCACACCTGTAATCCCAGGACTTTGGGAGGCTGAGGCGAGTGGATATCCTGAGGTCAGGAGTTCGAGACCAGCCTGGCCCACATGGTGAAACTGTCTCTACTAAAAATACAGAAATTATCCGGGTGTGGTGGCGCGTGCCTGTAGTTCCAGCTACTAGGGAGGCTGGGGCAGGAGAATCACTTGAACCCGGGAGGCGGAGGTTACAGTGAGCTGAGATCGTGCCACTGCACTCCAGCCTGGGCAACAGAGTGAGAGTCCCACTCAAAATAAATAAATAAATAAAAATCTTTGGTTGATGGAGAGGCTCTGGAAGATACCATAAAAGTGTTGGACTCAATTATTAAAGGGTGGGGCTCTGGGATAACAGACAGAGCCTCTTGTGTCAAAATAGATGTCGCCTGGCACTGTGCCCTGTGTTGTTTACAATGTATAATTATACATATTGCTTTGCTCAGATATGAAGAGCCAACAGTGATGTTAAGGCTGAAACTTGGTAGATGTCTCCTTTCTCATAGCTCCGCATACAATGCAAGGCAGTGGTCACACACCAGGCTGGCCCCGAGCAGCACATCCTCCTGACGCTGCACTCGCCTCACTAGGGAGCTGCCTGTTGTTTGCTCCTGTTCCCCTCAAAGCTCCAGGTATGTTTCTGAGTATATAAGAGGTCACCAAATCCCCGCTGATTTAATGATAAAACGCCAGACGGAGCAAGGCAGAGCTGGGTTGGCTCAAGGAAAGGTTTTCAGAAGAAGCTGAGGAACAAGGGCTGGAGGGAGAGAAGAGGCGCACAGCTGGTGGCCTGAGGCAGGCAAGGGGAGGGCACGAGCTGTCCCCTCAGACTCTGCTCCTCTGCCTTAAATCCCCCTTTAACTATTTCAAATGTATTAGTTTCCCCAGCTTCAAAAGCTTTCCGAAGGTGCTGCCTAACGCTTCAGCGTCTCCCTGGCACATGGCATGCACTGGGGCTGAACAGTTACGGGACACAGGGCCGTGGTCCTTCCACCTGCACCACGGACTCTGCTCCCTAGAACCGACCAGGGGAGAACCAGGCACACACCAGCCTTAAGCCCTTGCTTCTTTGCTCTGCTGACCCTCAAGGGGCTCCCTGGACCCCTCCCACAGCTCCTACCTGGAGAAAAAACCAGGGGCAAATGTGAACCCACTCCTGCTCTCACGGTGCAGCCTGGGGCCCAGTATCAACGGACATTTTCCTTTCCTTTCCTCAAAACCAAAAAGTCATTTCAGTGTAGTAGTAGGACAGACTGAGATTAGATTAGAAACAAAAGGTTTGATTATTTCCCAAGAGAAAATGCAAAAGAGTTTATGCATAAACTGTTTCCAGAATGCTGTCCGGTTGGGAGGCTGGGACACGAACTGAAGCTCAGAGCCTAGGAAGCGTGAGCCAAGGCTGTGCAGCAAGAAAAAGGAGAGAAGAAGAAACCCCATCAGTCCCTCACAATCCGCATGTGGAAATCTAGAAATGCAGGAGAGGCCTGGAGTCATAGTGGAATCCAGGATGAAAGGGGTGGATGACAGAATGAGCAAAAGGAGGCAAGCACCGGAGGCTTGGGGTCACATTTCTTGGAAGTGGCCTGGAGCTGGCAGATGAGAACTCTGGCTGCCAGTCCTCATTCCACTAACAATAGCGCCTCTAATGACATGCCCCTTCCCTTTGTACTCGGCTCCAAATGGGGAAAGTAATTCCTGCGGTGTTGGCTTTGCATGTAGATGAAACCCTTTGAGGGGTAAAGGTTTATTTAAGTACTTTAGCAAATGCAAACTGTTATTATCAATATTAGCCAGCATCTTTATTTATTTTTTTGAGATGGAGTTTTGCTCCTGTCGCCCAGGCTGGAGTGCAATGGCAAACTCTCGGCTCACGGCAACCTCCGCCTCCCAGGTTCAAGCGATTCTCCTGCCTCAGCCTCCTGAGTAGCTGGGATTACAGGCATGCGCAACCACACCCGGCTAATTTTTGTATTTTTAGTAGAGACAAGGTTTCGCCATGTTGGCCAGGCTGGTCTCGAACTCCTGACCTCACGTGATCCACCCACCTCAGCCTCCCACAGCGCTGGGATTACATAGCCAGGGTCTTTATTAAGTGCCTGTCAAATAATGCTCCTGATTTATAAGCGCCCCTGGCTCTACCTTCTGGGTGCTCAGACACCAACACGGAGAGAAGAGAATTAACATCCTGAGGAGTCACATATGCTAAAATATAAAGAGTAAGATTGTGAGGAAACTGCCGGGGAAGCAGGTAGGTTAGGAAAAGGTATCCTCACTTTTCTGCTGACCGATGAGTCTTATAATTCTTGAATTTCAGTGCTGGAAAGGTCCATGAAACATTCCAGGAGATTCTAGGGAGCTTCCAGAATGGCAGAAGAACTGGAACCATAAAGCCTGGGGAAGGGATGGAAGTCCTTGGGAAAGAAGCACTAAACAGCCCAGTGGAGACAAGGAAGGATTGGTCTCTCTCGTGCTTCGAGCCCAGCAATGACTATTCACTCAGATATGCCCCGGTATGTCTTGCTGCTGGAGCCAGTGCTGTTCCCAGACCCAGGCAAGGTGCCATCCTACCCCGACAGGAAACAGGGCAGGAGGTGGGGCTGCCCCGGTGCCTGGTGTTGGGAGGGGCCGGGGGGAATCCTGGGTGTTGGGAGGACAAGGCAGAGTCAGCTAGCTGTGAGGCTGGGGGAGGAGAAGACTTCTCTAGTCTGGGAGAGACCCCTCCTTTCCGAGCTCCTTGTACTTCCAAACAGGCAGGCTTCCTCCTGTTACTAACCATACCCGGACTGACTACACAGGAGCCAGAAAGACTCAGAGAAACCTGTGATAGAGAAAAACAGATGGGGGAAGGGAGAGAAGAGAATGTCAGAGGACACTAGCGAAAGAGAATGGGAACTTGTGGTCTAAAGAGGGAACCAAGTCTGGCCAACATGGTGAAACCCTGTCTCTATTACAAATACAAAAACTAGCCAGGCATGGTAGTGCACGCCTGTAATCCCAGCTACTCAGGAGGGTGAGGCATGAGAATCACTTGAGACTGGAAGGCAGAGGTTGCAGTGAGCCGAGACTGCGCCATTGCACTCCGGCCTGGGTGACAGAGCAAGATCTTGTCTCAAAAAAAAAAAAAAAATTAAATTTAAATTTTTTTTTTTTAAAAAAAGAGGGAACCAACAAGAGCTGGCAGAACAGAATAAAGCCTCAAGCCAAATAACTCCCTTGCCTTGGAAGAGCAAGGCTGCCAGGGTCTTGGAGCCTCTGTTTATCGGGTACCAGTTCAGAGGTCAGTGAGCCTGAGCTGGCCCGGGCGGCCCTCCCTCTCTCCCAGAGGAGAACAATAGGCTTGTTTTCCTGAGCTCTTCCTGTAATCCAGAAGGCCCACACAGAGGAAGAGGGGGCAAAGGCAGTGGCTATACCCAGTGGGGGAGGGGGTATTTAGCCTCCCATAAATTCATTAGCTCCCTTAAAGACACCGCAAAACACCAACAATCTAAGTGTTAAAATAGTGACTGCTATGCAAATGGAGCTTTAAAACCTATCCCTTAGCCCCAGTACCACCAGATTACTAACCCTAAACCCCATCTGTAGGAGATATTCTGAAGCCACCGCAGGGGAGGGGATAAGGGCCTGAGAGACAAGGGGCAGATGGGGTTTCCCCAACAATTTAAGTTCCACAAGGATACAGTACTGACAGAGATATGGAAGGAGGGGCAAGTATTCTGACAGAAGGGTGGTGTCTTAGGCATCCTTCAATTAGATAGGAGTAGCTAAAGGCTGTGTGTGTGTGTGTGTGTGTGTGTGCGCATAAGAAAAGAAATAGGAGGGTATGTGTGTAAGAGAAAGAGCATCTTGGCCGGGCGTGGTGGCTCATGCCTGTAATCCCAGCACTTTGGGAGGCCAAGGCTGGCAGATTTGCCTGAGCTCAGGAGTTCGAGACCACCCTGGGCAACACGGTGAAACCCTATCTCTACTAAAAATACAAAAAATTAGCTGGCCATGGTGGTGTGTACCTGTAGTTCCAGCTACTCAGGAGGCTGAGACATGAGAATGGCTTGAGCCCCGGAGGCAGAGGTTGAAGTGAGCAGAGACCGTACCATTACACTCCAGCTTGGGCTACAGAATGAGACTCTGTCTCAAAAAAAAAAAAAAAAAAAGAGAAAGAAAAAAGAAAAGCATCTTTGCTGCCACCAGTCCACTATCTTTGCACTCACCCTCTGCCATGCCCATCCTTGTCCCCCTCCCCACTCACAGACACGTCCAACAACAGCCCTGAGTATGCTTTAGTTTTCACCATCTTGGGTGCTATGGCCACCATGGTCTCCAGTGGCCTGGGTGCTGCCTACGGCATGGCCAACAATGGCACCGGCATCATGGCCATGTCTGACGTGTGGCCAGAGCCGATCATGAAGTCCATCATCCCAGTGGTCATGGCTGGTATCACCACCATCTATGGCCTAGTGGCGGCTGTCCCCACTGCCAGCTCCCTGAATGATGACATCAGCCTCTACAGCAGTTTCCTCCAGCTGAGCGCTGGCCTGAGTGGCCTGGCAGCCGGCTTTGCCATCATCGTCGTGGGGGACACTGGCAAGTGGGGCACTGCCCAGCAGCCCTAACTATGTGTGGGCATGACACTGATCCTCACCTTTGCCAAGGTGCTCATCCTCTCCACAAAGCAGCCCCTCTCAAAACCCACCAGTCACAGAAGACGATGTAAAGAGCACCCCTCCTCGTTCCGGAACAAACAGCCTGACACGCCTGTGCCGGGCAGCTGGCCCTCAGGAGTTGGTCTTCTAAGTGTACGGTGTCCTGGAGCTCGTCGTCTGTTGGCTAGGCCTTGCCCCCTCCTGCCCCATGCTGTGGACACCTGAGCCTACTCATCACCCATCCAGGTCCCTGACCAGTGAGGACTCAGGCCCCTGGATGCCCCACCCGTCTCCCTTGAGTGCTCTATGTATAAGGATGAATTAGAGTTGTCATTCTCTCTTCACTGGGTATTTATAAAGCTTTGGCCTGTCCATGCCCCTGCGGAGCAGCCCTTGTCTCCCAACTCTCTAGTAACCTTCAGGTACAGTGTCACCTCACGGAGGTTCCCATTGCTGAGCCTCCTGGGATGGACCACCCTCTCCAGCCCGGGCTAACAGGCCCAGTGCGGTGGCTGTGTCTGATAAAGTTCTCAGATGTCGGGGGAGGAAAAAAAAGAGAGAGAGAGAGAGAGTGTGTGTGTAAGAAAGAGAGAGAAAATGGGAGTGGGTGTGTGAGCTGGAGATAGGGAAGTGGCAGGAAAAGTCTGATAAGATCACCTCCTCCTTCCTACCCAGGCAGAGATACTGGACACAGCCCCCCAAGGACCCAAAGGGTAAGTAGAGAGCCAGATGCCTGCCTTTCTCAATGGGAGGTGGCCCTCCCAGGCCTGAAGAAGTCTCCATTTACCCCAGAGCCAGCTAGGAAGCAGGTAGGTAGCACCATCCCCAAGCACCCAGGTGCCTGGGATGAACAGCAGGCCCAAAGCCAAAGCATGAGACAGATTAAATGTTCCTACGGCAGGAGGAGGAGAGCAGGGGTCACCAGCATCTCTTCAATGAGCAAATGAAAGGAAGAGAGAAGGTAGACTGATACCCTCATCAATATCCTACTGTCCGTGACATACCATCATCAACCGGACTTTTCTTTTTTTTTTGAGACAGAGTCTCGCTTTTGTTGCCCAGGCTGGAGTGCAACAGTGTGATCTCAGCTCACTGCAACCTTTATCTCCCAGGTTCAAGTGATCCTCCTGCCTCAGCCTCCTGAGTAGCTGGGATTACAGGTGCCTGCTACCACGTCTGGCTGATTTTTTTGTATTTTTAGTAGAGACAGAGTTTCACCCTGTTATTTTTTTTTTTTGAGACGGAGTCTCCCTCTGTCGCCCAGGCTGGAGTGCAGTGGCGCAATCTCGGCTCACTGCAAGCTCCGCCTCCCGGGTTCATGCTATTCTCCTGCCTCAGCCGCCCGAGTAGCTGGGACTACAGGCGCCCACCACCTCGCCTGGCTAATTTTTTGTATTTTCAGTAGAGACGGGGTTTCACTGTGTTAGCCAGGATGGTCTCGATCTCCTGACCTCGTGATCCACCCGCCTCGGCCTCCCAAAGTGCTGGGATTACAGGCGTGAGCCACCATGCCTGGCCAAGACGGGGTTTCACCATCTTGGCCAGGCTGGTCTTGAACTCCTGACCTCAGGTGATCCATCCGCCTCGGCCTCCCAAAGTGCTAGGATTACAGGTGTGAGCCACTGTGACTGGCCTTTTTTTTTTTTTAAGACAGGAGTGTGATGGCACAATCTCAGCTCACTGCCACCTCCCCTTCTAGGTTCAAGTGATTCTCCTGCCTCAGCTTCCTAAGTATAATAAGAGCTGGGACTATAGGTGCCCACCACCACGCCCAGCTAATTTTTTGTATTTTTAGTAGAGACAGGGTTTCACCATGTTGGCCAGGCTGGTCTCGAATTGATGACCTCAAGCGATCTGCCCGCCTGGGACTCCCAAAGTGCTGGAACTATAGGAGGGAGCCACTGCGCCCAGCCTGGACTCTCATTAAAAAAACTCCTTTTCTCAGCTTTCCTTACTCTCTGAAACAGACTCTCCACTCTGCTAACCCTGCCTCTCACGCTGTGGAACTCAACCCAATCTTTTCATTCTGATTCCACAATGTGAAGCACTTGTCCTCTGTTTATCGATGGCTACCCGTGTTGTGAAGTGTTTTTATGGGAATAAGGCACAGGAGGGGAGGAAATCAGGCCAGTTCTAGAAGTAAAAGGAAGGCAAAGAAACCAGGAAAAAGATTTATGTGACGGGAGGAAGGGCAGTTTATAAATCACTCATGGATCTCTACGCCAGAGGGACGTGGGAGATACACGCATGCACATACGCACTGACTTGCAGGTACATGCAGAGGCAGCAACAAGTCAGGACATGACACATACGTGAATACAGATACCATTCTCATCAGAAACCAGTCAGAACAGAGGGGCCCTGCCTGGAGCAAGGAGACTGGAGCTAATTCCCCTCCTCCTCTCACAGGCTGATTGTGCTGCCTCCATGTCTAGGTTCCCCACAGATCTGGCTGCCTCCGACAGGGGCCCTGGGCTGGTGGCTGGACCCAGCCTGGAGGTCTTCACAGATGGAGGCCTACAGGAGGTGGCAGCTGACACCTGGAGGGAGCGGGATGAAAGCAGGCAGTGCGGAGTAGAGAAAGCCAGGCGGTGGGGGAGGGAGGGAGGGAGAAGAAGGGACCAGATTCAAGCAGCCTCGCGCTGGTTCTAAAATGGCCACAGCAAGGCAACGGACAGATGGTCCCTTTCTGATGCTGAGCCGGGGAAGTGGGGAAAGGGAAAAGGAAAAAATAAACACCATCACAGTCATAAATTTAAAAATAAACTGAAAAACCTAAAAAATAAACAGCTTGCTTCTAAGGTTCCGTCTGCCTCCAGAACCTTCTAAGGGAAAATATAGAACTGCAGGCCTGGAAGAACAGCCCCAGCCTCGGGTGTGAAGATGGCTGGAGGTCATTCTAGCCATCCTCTGTACCCAGCTGGAGCATCTTGCAAAGTCTTCCGGGCAGAGGAGGTGGTATCTCGCCTTTACCTCCCTAGCACTTCTTCCCAAGTCTCACTGTAGGTAAGCAAGGCCATGGCTTTTCAAATGTCAGAGCCGTTTGATTCTGTCTCCTTCCCAAGAGTCAGTTTCTGTCCAACATCAGTAGAATCAAGTTCATCCTCTCACAGTTGTTGCCCCTCCTGCCACCACCCAACTGCCCAGACTTTACAGTTCACAGGGCGCTTTCACAGCCATGACTCCATCTGCACTTAAACCTGCAGGGAAGCTGGGCAGGAATGGCTACCACAGAGAACAGATGAGAAAGCCAGGGCTCTAACAAGTGAAATGTTTGTCAAGGTGAAGCAAGAGCTCAAGCTTGCATAGCCTTCC